CGGAGTAGCTGGGATTATAGGTATGTGCCACCACGCCTGGCTAATATTTTGTATTTTTCGTAGAGATGGGTTTTTTCCATGTTGGCCAGGCTGGTCTTGAACTCCTGACCTCAGGTGATCTGCTCACCTAGGCCTCCAAAAGTGCTGGGGTTACAGGCATAAGCCACCATGCCCAGCCTGTTTGTTTGTTTTGAGATGAAGTTTTGCTCTTGTTGCCCAGGCTGGAGTGCAGTGGCACAATCTCAGCTCACCATAACCTCCGCCTCTGGAGTTCAAGTGATTCTCCTGCCTCCGCCTCCCCAGTAGCTGGGATTACAGGCATGTGCTGCCACGCCCAGCTAATTTTGTATTTTTAGTAGAGACGAGGTTTCTCCATGTTGGACAGGCCGGTCTCTAACTCCTGCCCTCAGGTGATCTGCCCGCCTTAGCCTCCCAAAGTGCTGGGATTACAGGTATGAGCCACCACGCCCAGCCTGTTTGTTTGTTTTGAGACAGAGTCTCCCTCTGTAACCCAGGCTGGAGTGCAGTGAGGAAAACTCTGCCTCCTGGATGCGAGTGATTCTTGTGCCTCAGCCTCCTGAGTAGCTGGGATTATAGGCATGCACCATCATGCCTAGCTAATTTTTATATTTTTTGTAGAAATGGGTTTTCACCATGTTGGCCATGCTGGTCTGGAACTCCTGACTTGAGGTGATCCCCCAGCCTTGGCCTCCCAAAGTGCTGAGATTACAGGCTTGAGCCATTGTTCCCGGCCTGGAGGGAGAGTTTATGACACAATCACTTGAGAGGGCAATTTGGCAATATCTGATAAACCTGGAATTGCATGTTTATCATTTCCCTGGAACCCAGCAATTCTAAACTGTAGTTATGGCTCTAGAGAAACTCCCGTATGTGTGATGCGGAGACACACACAAGGATGTCTGGGCTGGGCATCATGGCTCTCACCTGTAATCCCAGCACTTTGGGAGGCCAAGGCAGGAGGGTCACTTGAGGTCAGGAGTTTGAGCTAGCCTGGCCAACATGGTGAAATCCCGTCTCTACTAACAATACTAAAATTAGCTGAGCGTGGTGGCAGGTGCCCATATTCCCAGCTACTCAGGAGGCTGAGGCAGGAGAATCGCTTGAACCCAGGAGGCAGAGGTTGCAGTAAGCTGAGATTGTGCCGCCATACTCCAGCCTGGGCAACAGTGCGAAACTCTGTCTTAAAAAAAAAAAAAAAAAAAAAAAAAAAA